AGACCCAGATGAGGTGATTGATCGGATTAAGATGGCGACACCGAATGCGCCTATTTGGGCGCATTTAAAAGACGCCCTGTGGAAGAAAACAGGAGGAGTTTTCGCGCAAATGGCAGCATTGCTGTCTGAGTTGCAGATTAATGCATTCCTTTTGAAATTAAATGGTCTAACGCGGGAAGTTGTTCTAACGCAGTCGCATTCACATGTTCACAATTGAGTTAGTGAAAATACCTTTTTATACTAACACACTTTCAGTAGTTAGTATTTATTGTTTAACTTTTTTCTAATTTGTACCTATTTTTGCAAGTTTATGACCTACATCACGACCAAAGTAGAACACATTAAAGTACGACGACTTTGCTTTTATCTGTTAACTGGAAAAAAAATTGGCAATCACTGTCAGGCAAAATTTAGACATGGGATTGGTCGATCTCTTGGTGAAAGGCACTACAGCGTGGGCTGAAAAAAGAAAATGCAGAATTGAGTGTAGATTTGATCTAACTAATAGTCGAAATTACCTAAGAAATGAAGCTTGGCAAGGTAACGCATTTCTGGACCTGTTTGCATAAAAACTCGTAGCAAAGCAAAAATCGATTGTTTAAATTTTGTTGTCAATATTAGGGTTTCCACAAAATAAGTAAGCAAAAAATAAGAACCGACAAGGATTATGAAGTCATTTCATATAAATTACGCGGGATTCGTTAAAATTGTAAGGCCACTAAACTGTCTCTATTCAATTCAGTCTTCAGTCATAATGGTTTCGTCTAACCTATTTAGGAGTATGAAACGAATGGAGATATTTTATAACCCCAGCAACTTAATGAGGGTAATGTATATGCTTCTGATTCAGACATTTTTGTTTTTAAGCAAAAATGGTCTGCTAACGTAAGCTCTTTGTGAATTTGTGTAATATTCTGCCAAGTCATTTAAAGTCAAATTACTGTACATGCAACATTATGACAGATAACGACTAGCAAAAAATTAGGCAAATTCGCAAATCTATATTAGCCATTTTTAACAGATCAGGGTCAGGAAATTAGAAATTAATCAATCAAGAACTGTTGATCATTTGCGCAAATGTAAGCTGAGGATGGTGGCCCAGATGGTTTGGATTTGGTTAGAAAAAACATGAGGCGTTTGTGTCGGAATACATCTTCATCAAATCTGCGTTTAAATAAACAGCCATGATTCTTGGATCTATAGGGAAAACAGTCATAAGAATCAGCAAGTTAGTTAAAATTATGTCCAATGGATTTATGAACAAACTTTAATATAAAAAACTATTAATATCAGCGGTACCATAGTGTATAGTTGTGCTCTGTACTAGCATTAAGTACAATATTTTTTGAGTGAATCAAGTGTGAAATCATTAAACATCACAAATGATCATATTTATATTTTCACGTTAATTCACACAAACCGCTAATAGTCTAATCTACAAGGAATAGCAAAATTTACATGAACTATACGTAGTCTTTTTGGTAAAAAAGGTGAAGCAATACATCATTTAGTACTGTATACAGCTTTGTTAAAATTGATATTAAATATTTTATGCAATATCCGCAGTAGTAACAATTAGCAAAAAATAGGTGTATAAATTCAAAAATTTTTCAATTTTTTGTGCAAAAAATGCTGGTCCTGTCAGTCAAACGATGACAAGAACGTTTTATGGTCTGCGATGAAACTTAAGCATTTGTATTAGTTTAGGTTTCGCAAAAAATTAATTTAGGAAAAACCCACTTTGATACAAGACTTATGTTAATACAAAACAACAGACATTGTTGAATAGCAGCAAAACAGTGTCCATATTTAAGTTTTAAAATTGGAGGTATTTATTGTCAAAGCTATCAACTTCGGAAATCAGCCCCAATTATAAAATAGCAATTTTTTTTCAAAATAAAAAAATAACAAAGTGTGCATTAATGAGCTGTGCAAATTAAATGTGCATTTTACTAATCATAATTTTTGAGAAAAATTATAGGCGGAAAAAGGCATTAATTGAACACCAGCGTGGGTAATGTGAAATGTGTTGTTTGAACGCACGTTTTCCCAGCGGCGGTACTTTGTCACGTTATTGTTCGTCTTTCTCGGGATGCCTCCGAAGTTGGATCCTACTGCCGTCACGGTCGGTACGTTTTTAAATAATCAAGTCTAATATTGTACTTTATAGTATATCTTCGTGTGACTGGTGGCGAAGTTGCCGTTACTTCCGCTCTTGCGCCAAAGCTTGGTCCTCTCGGCCTGCCCCCCAAAAAGGTAGCCGAGGATATCGCCAAGGAGACCGCCGACATGAAAGGTCTTCGTTTGACCGTTAAACTTACTATTCAAAATCGTCAGGCAACAGTCACGTTCGTGCCAACAACATCCGCCCTCCTAATCAAGGCTCTTAAGGAGCCTGTGCGTGACCGAAAGAAGGTTAAGAACATCAAGCATACTGGCAATGTAACCTTCTTTGATGCCCTTGAAGTAGCCAAAGTAATCCGGCCGCGGTCACTTGCCCGCGAAATGGCTGGGACCGTCAAGGAGGTTCTAGGTAAGCACAAATCATTTTTAACTGAATGAAACTAGGCACTGCGCGTTCAATTGGCTGCACCATCGACGGAGAAACTCCCCAGGCAGTTATAGAGCACATAAATGCTGGAGAGATTGTTGTTCCTGAGTAAAGTAATAAACATTTTTGGTCCGGACTGCCTTTTCTTTGACCTAAATCCAATCGTGTCCATAAATGGCGGCCTAAACGTTTAGAAGTTTTGTACTCGTTCATGAAATTCTTTTGCTTTCACCTCCATTTAATTAGCTAGTTGGTTTTCAACCCTTTAGCCAATTCCCCACTTAAGTGCACTCTTGTAGGCCTCTAAGCTCTGTGCTTACAAGTCCCTCTTAGAACTGTTCTCCCCTAGATTCGCGTCCCCCTATATTTCGGTTGTGAGGTGGATATATTTCTTTCAGACAACATCTTGTGAATGTCGCTTAGATCTGAATTCGTTGCCCTGCTACTGAGCTGTAAGTTTGTGCGGTCCTGCGCACACTCAAAACGCCCGTTAGTCTCTTCGCATTCCGCCCCGCCGTGGGTTATGCATCTGATGCGTTAACCATCGTTATAATTCCATGTGGAATATACCCTAAGTAAATCTACTCGCACTCTATGGCCTACGTTCCAGTCATAGTCTGTGGTGTTTTTTTGGATTTGTGTTGTCAGTTATTGTCTGTAGGTTAGGTGAATATAAATTTTTTGGTTAAACTATTAAAACGTTTGGCCACTTGTTCGAGTCGTGTTTATGAATCTGCTGGCATTTTAATCTTGCCATTCGTCAGGAGCGTCGTAACTCCTAGCTCGTCAAGCCCAGTGCAGCATCAATAGCAGGTGATTTTTTAAAATACACCCAAACGTACAACCGATACCCACTTTACTTCAGAAGAAAGGTCTGTTGTCTACTTATTAAAATCAGTAGAACATATTTAAGAAATCTACATCTGGGTGTCCAAGGGATTGGTGGTGTTATATGCATGAATCACCGAGGTCAATGTACAAGTGAAATGGCATCAACGAGGTCTCGACATAATGTGCGAAATCTACTGACAAAATTGTCACACGACTCGATTAGTAGTCGGGTGATTGCATGGGGTGGGTAGTGGGGGGGGGGGGGGGGGGGGA